TTTGGATGGTCTTGCGAAATATTGTTGTATAAACACGTATGTGGACCCATGTACTTTGTAATTTCAAAATATCCACTTCGTTTTCGTTTGATTGCACGAACTTGCCATTTGCAACCGGATTGTAAATGTAACTTGCATCTTATGGTCCATAGAGTTGGACGTGTCTCAACAACCTCAAGCTGTTTATGTGTCCTAATACTATAAAGCTTGATAGCTCTAATAAGTTCTTCTTTGTCCTTGAAAGAATCTTTCCCTAACTCTTGTGTAAAATCATTTTTGCTCGCTAATTGTGTCACAATCCAATTGTTGTCGGTGGTCATATTCGTTTCTTCTATAATAGTAAACGTTGAAGGAACTTGAAAGTTGTTGTCAAAAGCGTCTCCATAATCTTCTTCTCCTATGCCATCTTCTTCTCCTATGCCATCTTCTTCAAGCACTTCATTTGCATCAGCTTCATTGTCATTTGTTATTGCATTGCTCACCACTGCAACTTGAGAGATTGTATAGAAATTCTCATTTTGAACAATGTCTGATATGACATTAGCATCCATCTACCAAAAAATATAACATAACAAACAATCAGAACATAAACTAAAACTCAAATTTTCAAGAAAATTTAATTTAATTCAAGCAAATCTAATTTCATTCACTAAAATTTCGTTCAATGTGAATCTGTGATGGAATGGAATCTAATTGCATTCACAGAAAATTTCAAATACTCACAAATGTAGACAATAAATCCTAACTGTGGTGAAAACTATTACAATTGGAATCAAAAGTTTCAGTAACAACAACAAAATAGAGAAACAATTGGCTATTGTAGATTAAGGTTCAAAAATTCGAACCTGTGATGGAAATCCAAAAAAAAAAAAAACAGAAATCGAACATTAAGGTACAATAGAATCGTTTCTTTAACTGATTATCGAACCTGTGATTGAAGATTAAAGTTCAAAAAATTGAACTGATTGAAGAGTGCTTCTTACCTGTGAAGTCGCAACCTCCGATTGCCTTGGAGTCGTCGGCTACAGTGGATTCGCCAGAGTCGTCGGTTTGGCCGGAGAAGAAGGTCTGGCTGAAGGGTGCCTCTCTTCCTGCAGGTAAAAGCGATGCTGTGAAAGAATGAGTTAGGGCACAGTGTTTTTTCTTTTTTTTTTACTGAATTACCAAAAAAAAACCATTATAGTAAATATGTTTAAAAGAATACCCATTGGGTAAATATTTTTTTCAAAAACACTTATATGGTTAAAAACTCAATGCCTCCTCAATCCATTTGTTGAGGATATTCGTAAAAGATGATTAATATATGGAGAACTTGGTGGTCAGTTAGTGGGAATAAAAAAGTGGATGTAAAGTTGTGATTTCATTAATGGAGAAAACGATTTTTGAAGTGGAAGAAACGACTTTTAAAGCTTTCTAATAAATAGTAAAAGATGTCCGGGCTTCGCCCAAGGTTGTGTTATTTTTTTCCTTAAACTTCTACCCTAATAAATGAAAATGACTTTGCCACATGTCCTCTTCTCATTCATTTGGACACATGACATTTTCTAGAAATTTTAAATTTTTCTATTTTCCACTTGTCATTTTATTGTATTTTTGATTTTATTAAATTAAAATCCACATTTAATATATAAGGTAATATATATGTAAGGTATTTATTAGAAAATGGTTTATATATGTAATGTATCTAATACATTAAAGTCTCATTAATTTTAATAATTCAAAATTTTTTTTCTTTTTCTTATAAATTTAAAGTTTTCAAATTGTTAAAATTTTATATTTAATTTTTTTTTAAATAAACCCATGTAATACATGGGTCTCACACCTAGTTTATTATTAAAATAAACCAAAGCATGAGAGCCTTTAAATTCATCGATTAAAAAGCAAATAGAGAAAAAATCCACTACAAAATCAATACGAAAAAAAAAAAAACTACATATGTCAAAGTATAATACTCCCTCCGTCCCAAAATTATAGTACATCTTTCCTTTTTGGTTTGTCCTAAAGTAATAGTCTACTTCTTAAAATAAATAACATTTTTACCAAAATACTCCTTCATTATTACTTAACCAACTAAACATTTAATGCAACATTAAATGCAAAGTAAGGACAAAACTGATTTTATTGTATAAAGTTAATGGTAATTAATGTTTTCTTAATCTGTATGTTTTTTTTTTGTCTGTGACAATAATTTTGGGACGGAGGAAGTAAGTATTGGGCAAAAAATATCATTTTAAAAAATATTTATTCAGACCAGAATTGAAAAGTCAAAAGAAGGAGGACCAAAAGTGTAACATTTATAAAGTGGTGTGGTCAACACCCAAAAGAATGAAACTTTATTATTCCCTAAGGGTTTATGCATTAATATATACCTACACCTCGTTTTGCAGGGGACGAGGCATACGCTGAGCGTAATCTCTAAATTTTAGGTAAGGTAAGGACCATTTTTGTAATTTTTAAACACATGGGTGGAATCTGTAAAAAAACAACACTAGGGCTTCTTAGGGCTACTCCGTATAATCCAAGGACCAAAATGACATAATCTAAAACCAAAGGAAAGATTTGAAAATACCTGAAAACCGGGGTGTTATATAAATACAAAAGTTTAGAAAATAAAAATGGGATAATAACATTTTATAAAGTTCAAAGTGAATGGGTCAAATTAACATTTTAAAAAGTAAAGTCGTAGAAAATCTAAAAACTCATAAACATAGAATATAGAAAGAATTACATAAATGGTCTCTATGGTTTACTTATAATCACAAACTCGGTCTCTACAGCCTGAAAAGACCAAATTATCCTCACACTAATCGACTAAAACTAACAGTGTTAGTAAAAAGGACCATTCACTCAAGTTTTGAAAGAAAACCACTGGACCATGTTCGTAAAACAAATCAGCAAGGACTGAATTTGTGAGTTTTGGTGAACCACATGGACTATTTATGTAATTTTATCTACTATATATTAATTACAAATAACTTTATGACCAATAAACTCTATATAGTTCAAATTTTTTTGCCACAATTCTTTTTCAATATTGGCACATTTACTCCCAATGATTTTGTAATTTATAGAAAAGGTCCTGTGAGTTTCTTTTACATAAACAGTTCTTATGTTTAAGATTTTCATATATTGGTAGGTTTGACCCTATATTGTCTCTATAATTTACAAAAAAGCTCATTGGGCATTTTTTTTTACAGAAATGGTTCAAGTGTTTAAAAAAATTACAAGAATAATTGGTACCTAATAGAAAACTTGCAGAATATTGTGCTTGAACTAATATTGTTCTTGTGATTTAGATTTATGGGTTGTTTGAAGCATTAGGGCTTTTTCATTTTGATGCATCCTTACCCTCTTTGTTACTACAACCTGTTTTTGGTTGCTACATTTAGTAGTCCCCTACATAAAGGCAAAGTTGCCCATGTTGGAATCTGAATTTTCCTTCTCGATTTTGAATCCTCTAGCCTTCTTGATGGTTCCAGTTTGACCATTATTTTTCTAATCTCCAAAATGAAAGAGAGACTAACTTCTTGTTTATTTTAGGTCTTTTCTTGGAGCACTAACTGTATATGAGGACCTATTACTTTGTCCTTTACTATTTCCAGAGTTTGCCTTAGTTGTAAGAACAAAATGATCACCCAATCCACCGTGAAGGACGAATTACCATTAACATTCACCATAGAATTCCTAACCCCTAAATCAATCAAATAACCATTATTTCTACCATCTGTGTTGCTACCTGGATTTTTAACAAGTTCGCTTGGCATCCTCTGCCATTTTCTCAATCTGTGCTTATTTAGAAGCTGGTTCGATGACTAGTTGGGGGTCCGGGGGTAGCGCCCTTGGGTCCGGGGTTTCCAAAGGGGCAGTGCCCCTTTGGTGGGGTTTAGGGGCAGCGCCCCTAGCGGGGTCCAAGGGGCAAAGCCCCTGGCTGGGGTCCCGCTAATTACAGTAAAACTAACGAAACTCGTTAGTTTTAGTAACCCTAATCTGGATTATCCTGACTTGCTTCCAAAGCAACTAATGACGGCGCAACCCTAATGAAACCCTAATCTCGTTTAATATATCAACGGTTCTTCCTCTTCAAAAGGACGTGACGAATTTTAGCTCTGGTTTTCATCAAACTCTCACGGAATCTCTCTAGCAAATTGGCTTACGATTTCTGTGCCTAGAATCGTAAGTGTCCACTTGGATTATCCTAGGCTGAATTTCTTGCAACCCAAGCATAGGGTAGAAATATCAGTTCGGAAAGTGTTCTCACGATCCAAGTTGGTATCCAGATCTCCACTACAAACCCTATTTTTCTTACAAATGGAGTATCAAAGAAACTCCATTTGACCCAATATTCATATACATTTTAGTAGAAGGGGCACAAATTATGTGGTTATGCAAGCATTGTAAGAATAATATCAGACTATGTTCAAGTTGTTGTTTCAATTTACTTTTGTTTTCTTCAATTACTCGTTAACTCCTTTCACTTCTGTCCTTTATTAGGACTCAGGAACAAGGTGTAAATTCTTGCAGAAACATGTCAACTATGAACACTTTGATGATGATGCTTCTGATAATTCGATTGGCTTTTACTATTGAAATCGATGAAAATATAATATACTTCAACTATTGGATTCAGATGAGTTAGTTGCGATTTTGGTGAATTCAAAACAAATAGATCAAAAGGTAAATTCAGTAGTTTTCATTTCTAACACATTTTTTGAAGGAATGAAATTCGTTGAATAACTCCTCATTCCTTTCCATGTGATCAACCAAACAACCTTTTATGATAGGAAAGGAATAATGCATTCCATTCCCTCCCTCATTCAAGCATACCAAACGGTACCTAAATCAATCCAAAAAAAATGTTATATTCAATTCAGTTTCAACCAATACCATGATTCAGCTATTTGAACTTGCAACTATTTGATTTTACAAACAAGGAAATCACCTTGAAGAGCACCTCAAACGATATATATATATATATATATATATATATATATATATATATACACACACTAAACATGTCCTTTTAAGCTAATTTCACCATCAAATCCATTAGTTATAAAAAACACATTCAAAAACATAAAATAAGTCTAGAACATCAAAGTCTAAAACTCCAAAACAACAGCCACTTAGGAAACACACACAAAAAAGCACAAGTTAGTGAAAAGTTCAAATAAAATAATCAGCATCATTTTCAAACCGGTCACCCTCGTCATCGTCAATCAAATTCACTTCATCCCCGTTATCCTCGTCAATCAAATTCACTTGAACATTTTTCCTTTTCCTAGTTCCACTCCCTTCCCCAATTGTCCCGCCACCTCTAGGTCTTCCAATAGCCCTGCCAGCTCTAGCACTTCCAATTACCCCACCATCTTCCTCCCCTAATATCCCGCCACCTCCAATGTCATCTTCCTCACCATCACTTGGGGCGGCTATCCACTCATCATCCGATAATACATGATCAACAACTAAGGGGTCATCTTCTTTTAATTTAGTCCTCTTAATGAAATTTTGCTTCAACTTTTTATTGTACATGATGTAAACCAAGTTGTTCATTCTTTCGGTGTTTAACCGGTTGCGTCTCTTGGTATGGACTTGATTGAACGTACTCCAATTACGTTCACAAGCCGAAGCGGAACATGTAAGACCCAAAACCTTTATTGCAAAGGACTTGAGCTCTGGAGCATCGTCTCCATATTCACCCCACCATATAACTATATATGTTTATAAATAACTTAATAAGTAATGTAATTTATATAAAATAAAAACTATAACTATAATAACAAAACTACTTAATAATATACCCGGTGGACGTGTCAGATATGTCGATAAAGAACCTCTATATCGAAATAATCCTCTTTTTTCTTTGTAAGCAACGAGTTGATCTTCAATCTTCATATAAACTGTCGTATCCTTCACGAGCCTTTCCATGACATCATACAATCCTCACTTAATCTCCGGATGCTCGGAAACATTGGGACTCCAACGATATTGTGGATTTAAGTAGTAGGCAGCAGCGTGCAAATCACGATGCATTTGCAACTCCCATTTCTTATCGATAATGTCCCAAATTTCTTTATAAGAAGCGAGGTTGTTTATCCAAGTTCTTTGCTATTTTTTCTTTGCATTCGTCCATCGCCCCGTAAATAAATCCCATTGCTGGTGTTTGCTCCCCATCAACGAGTCTTAAAACTTGAACAAGTGGCATTGTGGTTTTCATGGAATAAACCACACTAGGCCAAAAATTTCTTTCATCCATAATTATTTTTTTTTTATCTCTCTACCATCGGGTTTCTTAGCCCAAGAAGATGCCCCCCATTCGTTTGAAACAAACATTTGTTGTAAGTTTTGTTTCGATTCATAAATGCTTTGTATAGTCAGAAAAGCCATGGCGAATCTCGTGGCGGCCGGTCGAAGTAGATCTTTCTTTAGAATCTTCCGGGATAAACTTAACACCCACTGATGGTTGTAGATGAAATTGCTAATCTTTTTTGCTTTAAGCAAAGCATTTTTATGTTGAGCCAAATCACCGATTTTTTCAAGCATCAAATCGATGCAGTGAGCTGCACACGGGGTCCAATACAAGTTTTTTCTCTTCTCCATTAACAATGCTCCAGCAGCTTTGTATGCACTAGCATTGTCGGTCACCACTTGAACAACAATATCTTCCCCGATCTCTTCAACAACTTCATCAAGCAACTCAAATATTTTTTGAGCATTTTTTTATGCAATCTGATGCATCAATAGTTCTCAAAAATACAGTTCCATATTGATTGTTGACCAAAAAGTTGATCAAACTTCGGTTTCTCATGTCTGACCAACCATCTGATAACAATGACACCCCTGTTGTCTTCCAAGTTGCTTTAATGTCATCCACCATTGTTGTTGTTGTTTTGACTTCTTCTTGAAGGATCCAAGTAATTAATTCATGCATTGAAGGGGTTTTCAATCCGTGTCCATAGTTTCCAATAGAATGTACCATATTAGTAAATGATGGACTATTGGATACATTGAACGGGATTCCATTCTCATAAAAGAACCTCCCAATATCCAAACAAACTTGGTTTCGATGCTCTTTAGTATTGGATGGGGTAATTTTTATAGGTCCTGGACCATCTATTTCATCCTCTTGTCCACCCACCATCCATCTATCTATTGGTCCTCTAACACCCCTAGAGCTACCAGTTGTAAATGATGGATCAACACTTCCACCTCTGTTGTAGTATGCCCTACTTGCTACGTTTTCTTCAAAGGTTGTTCGAGAAGCTAATTTAGTAGCCTGAAATGCTTTCAAAAACTGAAGCATTTCCTCTTTCACTATTTTTGGAACATTAGGACAAGGCTCTACATCTTGGTGTGTACAAGCAAGATGCTGTTTCACTCTCTGAACCCCTCCCTTAATGATTTTGCTACAATACTTACATTTTAGATATTTGTATGCCTTTTTTTGACCCTCTGCCTTTACCATTACTTCCTCACTGTGACCCCAAGTAGGGTCCGACCTTCCACCTTTACTGGACATCCTCACTGTAAATAGAATGCAGCAAAATCAGATCAGAAGAAGTGCAGAACCTAAGTTACACAATTGATAGTCCCAAAGAAATCATTTGTTGAACAAAATAATAATAATGATAATAATTACAAAATGCTTTTGATAGAAGAATAAGAAAATTAACCTTGAATATGAGCAGACCTTCGATCGCCCAGAAGAAGTGCAGAACCAATTCAACTGAAAAAGTGCAGGTGAGATGCGATTTTGAGATGAAGAGATGAGCAGCGATTTAGATTGAGCGAATGAGGTGATTAGGTCAATAAATGAAACGGGTTTTCAGTTTTATTATAAAACCAGTCAATAAAACAAAGGTAAAAAGGAAGTCGACGTAAAAAAGTCAAAATAGTCAAAGAAAAATTGAAGGCGTACGCATCTGGAAAACGTTCCGCCTCAATCGATTCCTATGCGCTTCACTGGTATGAGGCGTGCGTATCAAATCTTACCACTGAGGCGGCGCCTCTAGTTCGATCAACCTCCGATTCGCCTCAAGGCGCGCCTCAGGGCGTGCGTTTCTCACGTTTTTTTAAACGATGGTTATCATAGGAGTATTCTCACCAGAATTTGGAGGAAATGTCACTTATGAGCTTCAGAAGCCAAGGCATATACATAAGAAAGCAGATGATAGCAATCTTAATGATCTTGGGTTGTGTTTAGAATGGAAAGTTCATATATATCTCAGTAGAATGACATCACAAGCTCATCAAAAGAATATGCACAAACCATGTGGCCCTGGCCTTAGATGATGTGGTGGTGTCAATTTTCATACCCATGTTGCTGCTCAATGCTTTTAAACTACAACAGACGAAAAGAAAAGACAAGTTATATGTGAAATATAAAACAAAAAATATACTACATTATTTAGCACAACTATCTAAATTATTTTCTATACCATGATTTAGCTTATAAAATTTTACAATACACATCCATTTGGGTATTTTTGTGAGTGTAATCTAATGGTTTGTCAGCCATGCATGTCTGAAACTGCATTTTCTCTCACTATGCTGCATCACATAAACTAATAAAACAGCAAGCATCTATATATGAGTAACGGCTATCTTAAAACTATGATATAAAAGTGCCTTAGAATCCCTAAGACCAACATTAAATCTTTAATTCTTTGTCCCCATATACATATCAAACAACGCACACAGAAGCCCCAAATTTGGGCATGCATTGAAACATGTATAAAGTTGACATAGATAGGCATATTATCAAAGACTACCATAACTCCATTAACAAAGCCCATATAAGCTCTAAAACAACTAAATCGATGGTGGAAATTGGAAAATAGCATGTTAGCATGCTACCAAGGTCTTATAGTTAGTTCACCACCACAAACACAAACATATTTTAACGAACGTAAGATGTTACTAACTCCACCACTCAGAATTTTAATGGCGATAATCCATAAGTCAATCTTTAAGGCAATGTCCAAAATCATTTGTAAACTTATATATTTAATGTGTAACATTGAAGCCTTAAATTATATCATATTTGTCTAAATATTTTCAAAACAACTAAAACGATAGTGGAAAGTAGTTGTTGGTTCATGGCCACATAACCCACAAGCCAGGTCATGAGGCAATGTCCAAAATCATATACTCCATGTCTTACCAGAAAGAGTAGATTGGTCTAAATAACCTTTAAACAACTAGCACTATGTGCTTATTAAGGAGCTAATGCTTCATATCAAAACCTACATCATATTGGGATGGAATGTTACATGAGTAACAGCACCCTACCTATATATAGCTTATATTGAACAACAAACAAGTAAGTGAAATGGAAGGTATATCAAAGATAGAACAAAGATGCGACAGATGCTACCAAAATGCACAAAGAACCAATCCTTCCTGAGTGAGCAACAATGGCATAGACGGAAGCCGGACCAAAACGTTTGCAGACAGAAATTATATGTTGCGCTGCTGAAGCCAAACCATAAAAGAGTAGGCTGGTAATGGCGATATTCATGCATCGAGGGTGCGTTTTGAAAGGAAATTCAGAGCCTTGCGACTTAATTTCAGCGAAAGCAGCTAAACCGATGATGATAAACTTAAGTGGGGATGGGAGCATGATTTCCCCAAATATTCGTGGGTAATACTCCATCCAGAGGCGACCGAGAAGTTCCAGTAAAATAACGATGCAGACGATGCATTCCAACAAAAACGATATGTCGGAACTGGGTGTTTCATGGCAGACTTCTACGGGTGGTTGTGGTTCTATCTCCATGACAACAATTTGTTCCTTGTCGACGGGCGTACCAGTGGCGGAAGGCATGACTGTTTTGGGGTGGAGCTGAAAAACACAAATGTTTAAAAAAATAAATGCTCTGGTGAATGGTGATGCTAATTCTCGAATTTCATTTGTATCGGGTCCCTTTTATATATATATATATATATATATATATATATATATATATATATATATATATATATATATATATATATATATATATATATATATATAAAGTGTCTATTCTCTCACCTTCCTCTCGTCTTCCTTCCTGTATACCATTTTAACACCATTTTAACACCATTTTAACACCATTTTAACGAATTTTAACGACTTAAAAGTTATATATATATATATATATATATATTATATATATATATATATATATATATATATATATATATATATATATATATATAAAGTGTCTATTCTCTCACCTTCCTCTCGTCTTCCTTCCTGTATACCATTTTAACACCATTTTAACACCATTTTAACGAATTTTAACGACTTAAAAGTTATATATATATATATATATATATATATATATATATATATATATATATATATATATATATATATATATATATATAAAGTGTCTATTCTCTCACCTTCCTCTCGTCTTCCTTCCTGTATACCATTTTAACGACTTAAAAGTTATATATATATATATATATATATATATATATATATATATATATATATATATATATATATATATATATATATATATATAATATTGTGTTAGTAAAGTTTTTTTTTCAATTACGTTTACCGTTTTAACTTGCTAAACTGCACATATTCAGTCGTTATGATCGGTTACTCTATTGAAGTCGGTAAAATAACTTAAAAGATAATACATTTCTCATTTTTTTACACATTTAGTCTTTAATATTTATTTTGCACATTGAGTCATTGATATTTTTTTTGTTGTAAAATAAGTCTTTGTTGTTTTTGTTAATATTCAGTACTTATTACTGATTTCTTTAGATTTTTCTCACGTCATTTTACGTTGAACAATCATTAATGTTGAACAATCATTAATGTGGTGGTTGGGTTGTTGATGTTTATATTTATCGTGACCTCGACTACTTGGTTTCTTAGGTCTTGTGTTCTGAGCGTCATAATTTCATTATACGATCTCGGATTTTAACGATCATTATATCAACGTGTTCGTATTTCAGTCTACTACAACTTTCGTTAACATTACTCCTGCTAAAAATAATATATTTTTGACTTACGATTTTATTAAAAAAAAAAATTCATACATATATTCATATAGATCGTAAGTAAAAATATAATACTTTTTAAAAAAAAAAAAAAAAACGTTTATATCCATGTGTTCTTTGTGAATGTATGAATGTTTTTTATAAAATTATAAGTAAAAATATACTACGTTTTCACGAGAATAATCTAAACAAAAGTTGTAGTAAACTCAAATATGAATGCATAGATATAAAGATCGTTAAAATTTAAGACAATATGAAGAAGTTATGACATTCAGAACATAAGACCTAAGTCAAACCACAAGACATAATCAACCAAGCAACCACAACAGTCCCATCACCTCATTAATGATTATCCCATGTAGGATGAGGTGAGAAAAACCTAAAGAAATCAGTCGTAAGTATAGAATGTGTATAAAAACAAGAAAGACTTATTTTGCAATAAACATTATTGACTAAATATGTAAAAAAATATTAAGGACTAAATGTGTAAAAGTAATAAATGTATTACACCTGGAGTAGCCGGTCATAAATACTGAATATTTACAATTTAACAAATTGAATAGGTAAATGTAAACAAAAAAAAAAAAAAACTCAATAACCAAAAGTGTTCGAACAATATATTACCCTTTAAAGTTATTATCACATTGATTTATGAACTTTGCATAGGATATATATATATATATATATATATATATATATATATATATATATATATATATATATAGAGAGAGAGAGAGAGAGAGAGAGAGAGTTATGTTCAAATGTTTTTAATAAGTATTGTGTGCCTAAATGCACCAATGAGAATTCAAGAAATAATAAATCATTAAATAAATCATTAAAGGGTATTGTGGACATTTTATACTTTTAATTAAGGAAATCATTTAATTTAAATCTTGCAATTAAGGAAATAATTTAATATATTTGACCTAGTCATTTGTGTTCTCATTTATAGGCGTGCATATTGTTCCGTTCCAACCCTAGCACATCTATTTCTTTTTTGCGGCCTTCTTTAGCAACCTGTCGGAGTTGTAGAAGACAACCGGAGAGAAGAAAGGCTGGAAGGTCTAAGGCATATTACTCGTTTGGTAAGACTATTATGTCCATGTTTCTTATTCTATCTTCTACCTGTCGGAGTTCTAGAAGACAACCAGCGAGAAGAGATGTCCGCTCCTTTATTGCAACAGCTCTTCTGCTTCGTTTTCCCTCCACGAATCGTAAATGGCATCTCAGGTATCATGTTATCTTCTTTATTCATGTATCATCTTTATTGTGGGTATTTGGAAGAAAGTAGAGTGACAAGGATAGCCCCATAAATTGTCAATTCTCGATTCCAATCAGCTGAGATTTTTATATGGTTCGATTTTTATCTAAATTCCTAGTTCTTGATTTTAGGTTCGAAGATATAGAAGAATATAATAAACAATGGCATCCCTGTTGGTAGAATTGAAAATATTCTGATTTGCACACCAACTGTTTGTTAATTTGTCTCAATGAACTTCAATTACTTATTCCAAAATTGGTTATTTCTTGTTTAATGAGTCACTTTCAGTTAGAAGGAAGCATAGAAAAAAATGTAAGTTTGTATGGTTCCAGCTCTTGTATCAGGGCCTTATAATGTAAGTAACATTATTTATTCATGTGTTCAAGTTGATGAGTTTCAGTTTCTCTTATGTGGATGCTCTTCTTTCTTACAAAATAATGTTTTCAAATCTAATATGAAAACCAAGTTTCTATGCTTTATTCGGTCTGACATATATTTTTTTTCTTTCGATTATGGAATACAATTCTAAGTTGTTTGTGCCTTTTTATTTTTCATCAACACAAATTAATTTACTCTTTGAACTTTGTGGTATGCATTCTAAATCAAATATGTTGCTGGAATTTATGTATTCTATCAGAATAAAATCGATGTATTCTGCCATAATGTATTATATGTATTCTGTCATATTCTATTTATTCTACCAAAATATATTAAGTGATAGTTAATTGCAAGTAACATGTTTTTAACAATTATTAGTTTTTGTTGTATTTGTGATAGAAATGGCTGGAAGAAGGCGTTGAAGACCTTGATATTCTTTTAGAATATTTATAATTATATTAAAATGTATAAGGATTTTAGTCTGTAAGAATATATATGAATTTGTATTTAAGTTCGGATGTATAAGAATATATTAGAATGTTTGTTATTTTTCAACATGTGATTCAACAATTTCGTTTTTCTTCAATGATATTCTATTAGAATAAAATTCTGAAATAGCATCATTCTAATAAAATAATATTCTATTAGAATAAAATTCTGAAATAGCATCATTCTAACAAAAAATATTCTGACAGAATATAATCGGTAAAAAATGAAATTGAATTAATTAAAAAATTCATATTTTTTTTAAATTAGGAGAATTAGTCATCCCTAAAAATCCGAAAATTTCCTTTTATAAATGTAGTTAATTGTCCAAAATACCCTTTTGCTAAAAATAGTGTGATTATATGGTACATGTTACCCCATTGTAATATCATACACTCTCAAATCATATTAATTTTTTAATTTCATCCATTGATCCAGATCTGTGCATTCTGGTACATAATACTTAGTAAAAACAAAATAACCTAGCCCTATATATATATATATATATATATATATATATATATATATATATATATATATATATATTTGTATTCCGTCCTTATGTCTTACAAAATATGATGGTCTCACATGAACTTAACCCTATATATATATATATATATATATATATATATATATATATATATATATATATATATATATATATATATATATATATAGGGTTAAGTTCATGTGAGACCATCATATTTTGTAAGACATAAGGACGCAATCCTAGCCATTTATTTTGGAGGTATAAAAATATTTTTAAAATGAAAAATAAATGAAAGTTTTCGAAACAAAATTTAATATTATTTTCCTTATTTTTTTTATCAAATTTAAAAAAAAATAAAAAATAAAAAAATTACCGTTTTTTTTTTCAAAATATACGTTAAATGTTCTAATAGAATATTATACTATAAATATTAAAAATCGAAATTTTAGAACGTTAGAATCTTCTAATAGAATATTAAACTATAAATATTTAAAAAGTTGTAATAAATATTAGAATATTCAAACAAACCTAAAAATTCAAATAGAATATTAGAATGTTTTAATATATCCATCAAATTTAGTAGAATATTAAAGTATTCTATTATTTTAAAATTTTGATTTGATTATTTACAGTGTAATATTCTATTACAATATTTCACTCATATTTCAAAAAAAACAGTGATTTTTTATTATTATTTTATTATTTTTTATTTACTTATTTTTTTTTTTTTTGGATAAATTAAATAACGAGAATAATATATATATATATATATATATATATATATATATATATATATATATATATATATATATATATATTTAATTTTGGATTTTTTCTTTATTGTGCATTTTTTAATTTCAAAAATATTTTTGATCTCAAGATGAGTCGCTAGAATCGCGTCTCCATATCTCATAAAATTAACATGGTCTCAAATGAACCTCTACTTTTATATATATATATATATATATATATATATATATATATATATATATATATATATATATATATATATATATATATACACGGTTATTATGACATTAAAATAATATAGTAATAACAAAAAATATAATCATTATGATTAATTAGCTTTCCTCAAATTAACACTAATGTCCGGCAGCTAAATATGAGTCATGAATTTCCCCACAAGATATAAATAACAGAGAAAAAGTATTGACTTCGAAACAAATATCTAACTCGAAAAGAA